GTGATAGTGCAGCTAGTTCAAGTTTACCCTAAAATTCCGGTGTGATTTGCAAGCTACGTGCAATAAAACGAACTTGACATTGTACAGCCTTGTGTCTTTTTTCGTGATTTGGAATTCCACTGAGATAGCCCACTTGTTCACACCGCACGTTATCCCATGGTCGCAGCAATGCCCCCAATGCCTATCCAACTTTACCGCTAAATGCTGTTTATAAGGCCAACGAAAACGGTGCCGGGAGAACAAACCACTAACGCTGCTAGCTCATACTAACGCAAAAACTCCCAAACTCTCCTTATGATTACATTTGGTTACCAATGTTAATAAAAATAAATACTGAGAAGATGATTCGATCGAATCTTCTTTTTCTCAATTACTTCCTGGGACTCGCATGTTCGCTTGCATTAGCAAAAAATAAATGCCCTGTTATGCTGTCCTATGAAATTTCCTTATTATGCGTCCTTATGGCATACACCATGGATTGCAAATAAGCAAAGTGGGTATTGCAGGCAAAGACAAGGGAGACAAAAATTGCCATTTATGGCTTATTCGTCGTCATTAGCCAACCATAACCAATCCCACATGAAGCCCAAACCCGCAAGCTGTTCAAGAGAAGTCCAACGCTGTAATTACTGAGCCACAAACTGGGCTAAAAGCCAGAAATGGTCATTCCAGTCTCCTTTGTCTTCGTCAGTAACGTTCTTCTGCCGCTTTGCAGCTACTGGCGGGGCTCAAAGGTTAGACGCAGAGGCAAAACGGGAAGATTGAGTCCCATAACCGATGGGTGAGCTCTCATCCGGTAGAGGGTGTAAATGTATCGTTTTCGGGGTAGCTAGCTAGCTAGCCAAAAGTCGGTTAAACCACTGTAACCCAGGGGAAGTAGTATGATGAACAGACTGCACAGAGCTTTAATTGCGGAGTCAAGAAGCAAATGCGGCAAAAGTAGTCTATGCAGTGTACCTCATATACCCCTAGTCCTAGCATTTTTTTCCTACGGAAATGGTGATTATAGGGTTTATGGGGGTGGGGAAATAGGATAGGCAGAGAAGGAAATTTGTAGAAGTAAAGGGAAAAAATGCAGTTGAATTTGT